AGGAACCGTGAAAATATAAAAGAAACAGCGAACATCTTCGGAACTCATCAACAAAGTTTCGCCATCCTTCAGTTCAAAGGGGTGCATCGAGGGCCAAGCCGGTAGCGTGCTGACGTCCCCATTCATCGACCGGCAGATTCGGTTGAGCGGGACCAGATTCATGATAAGTCGGTGAACAGGCACGCCATCAACCACGTCATCTTTTGGGACTCCAAAGAGCCCATTGAACAGCCTCCTACCTTGCACCAGGTGGATGTCCGCCTCCTTGATGAGCCCGCAGACTCCCGAGGCGAGGACAGGTCCTCCCATTCACCCTCAGCTACCATGATCCTAGGGGGCTTAGTATAAACTTGTTCGCGTTCGGGTAGTAGGTAGGTGTCAAAGTTCAAGGTGTAGTGCAGTGAACCCTTCGTCACTACGCTTTCTAGAGGCACAGTCCCCACTTCGCTGGGCAAAGCCGATCGAACATTCTTCCAGGAAGTCACTTGAGCCACCTTGACCTCATCACCTTTGTAATCAATAGTTCGCACCGCTAAATACTCCTCCCAATTCAAGGCAGGGAGGGCAGGACATCTTCCAACAAAGTTTCTCGCCTCGTCCATCAAAAACATGCAACATCTAATGTGAGCGGCTGACACTTTAAGCGTCTCGTCTGGATCACTGCCACACAGTGAATTGAGTCCACAACAAATACCTCTCAAAACCACCAACACTCGTCGTTCTTCGCCCGAAAAGGAAGGGTGTTCCATGATCGAGTCAACGGGGAAAGGCAAAAGGTTTCCCATGGTCTTGACCTTGCAAAGCTTGAAAAGTGACAAGTCATGAACCCACCCCTCAACGAACGAGTCGAACGTGCCCAAATCCAGCGCCGCTCCTTTTTCAGCATCCTTCACGGACGGTACTGGGGTCGGAACCACCGAGCTGGCACTCTCGGTAGCCCCTTCTGTACGCGACCACATACTCAAAGATGTAGTCCCCTTCTCAGGCTCATACTGGGCGTCCTGAGTCCTCTTCTCTTTGGCAGCTTGGCAGGCTTTCGCAGGCATCACCTCTTCTACTCCTCTTCTCACCCTCTTCAACTCCTCTGAAATCTCATCCTCTGCAAGGCCATTCACTTCTTGGCTTTGTCTCCTCGAGCGCGATCTTTGTCTCCTCCTTTCGACTTCCCATCTTTGCCTTTGGTCTTTCCCTTTCCTTTCTCGCCCTTCTGTTCGCCCTTTCCGCCTTTCCAGGAGCTGTGATCCCAAGCTCCCTTTTGGAGTTGACGGCTTTTCTGTTCCTCCCGGCTTTCCCGGGCCACTGCAGTTGCCTCCGCCTGTGATGCTAAGCTCCCCAGGTCCATCGGCACGATCTCGAAGCGTTGCGACATCTGCCATGACGACCCGCTCGCCATGCTCTCCAGCGCTTTGAGCCTCTGCACCAAAACGTCTGCTGCATGAGCTGGCTGGCAGCTCAGAAGGGCGTCCAATGCCGCTGAAATGTTCAAGGCTTCGCGAGCCATCACCGGCGTCATCTTGGGCCGCAGGGTCTGCCGGTAGAACTGCAATCCGACAGCCCCCACGGGACTCATCTCCACGCCTTCTTGGCCTTGTTCCTGCAACACCTGCTTCCTCATCTGGCGGATGGCGTGATATGCCAAGGCTCCGGGCCCTGCTTTTGAAGCCAACTGCGTCCTCTGGCTTTCTTGAAAGAGATCTTCCATCCCATCCACCACCTCCGAGGTTGAGCTCGTCCCGGTTGAACTTGAGCTCTTTGACTTCTTCTTCATAGCCCGTCTCGCCAGTCGGGACACTTTCTTTCGGGTACGAGCATCCTGATCGAGGCCCGTACCCTTGTACAAGGCTGAGTGCTCCTTCTTTCCCGCTGGCTTGAAGGTCTTCTTCTTCTTCTTTCGACCTCCGCTGGACCCGCTGGTGCTTTTGACTTCTTGTCCTGCGGGGGGATGGGCCTCTCTTTCCTTCTTCTCCGTGTCCTTCACCTCCTCCACTCCTCGTGCAAGAGCGTCTGATCGCGCCGCCAGGCGCCGTAGTTCTTCCATCCCCGTCGGCTCTTTGAGATTGTCGGCCCATGGCGGGCTGTCTGCACCCCGGTACTTCACCTTCTTGAGATGTAGAATATCGTCCCCCTCTGGGATGTTGGCGCAGTCCTCCAGGCATACGTGGCATCTCAAAGGCGCCCCCTCCCTTCCCCGACACCCATCGGAGAAGTCCCTCGTCCTGGGTTCCTGTCACCCAGGTCGTAACTTCCAGAGCTCCTCCATGGAATCTCAATGCATCCACCTCGACCGCGATGGTGATCTCCCTGTTGTAGTAAACCCCCATTCCCAGGAGTCGAAGCCCTGGCTTCCATACTCTGACTGGGATCTGGTGGGCGGCAACCTCCTCTCCGGCTTCAAAGCCAGTCGCACGCTCCTCTGCAGCGGCCGGCCTTCTCCTGAGCGCCCCTTCACGACCTCTTTCTCTATCAGCGTCTCCTCGATCTCCTCCTCGTCTCAACCTCCCTTCAGCCGCCGGTCGTCTCAGCGGCCTAGGAGGCATCCAACCTTCTTCTACCAGTGCTCCTCTCTGTGTCTCAACCTTCTTCTTCCCTTTGTTCTTTGCACCTTCGTATGGGCGATACTCTGGGCTGTCAGGGGGTCCACGATAGACAGGGCGAGCCGGCACCAGAATGGTTTGTCCTGTAAACCCAGGAGGGGGATTCGAGGGAGATCTCGGCCTGCTGACCTCCCGACGCTCCTCCCTCCCTTCTGGGGCGTGGCTGGGCTTGACCTCCTTCTTCCTGGACCCACTTGCTGCTCTCCTTCGTCGATGATGGGAACTTTCTCCTCTTCTTCTGACCTTTGGAGACCTTGTTCGACTCGCTTCACTCCTCCTCTTTCTTCTTCTTCGTCGGTGAGGAGATTCTGGCACTACCTCCCTTACACCGAGATCACCTTTGCGCTCTTCTTCGCCTTCTCCACTGGCCTCTGGTTCTGTCCCCACTTCAACTTCTTCTTGAGGGGGTTCAGGCTCGTTGGCTTCTTTTCGAGGTGCCTTGGTCTCTGCCGCCGAGTTCTTGCCCTGCTGTTCTGTCGAGTCCTCCTCGTCCTCTTCTCTCTTCACTGCGATGCCTCCGGGATGATGATCTCCTGCACTGCCTGGTACTGTATCTGCTGCCCCTGATGCCTTTTCTCCTGCTGGTTCTTGTGGAGCCTTTGTCTCCGTGCTCACACCCTGGCCTGCTGCTGCTTGGGAACCTCCTTGATCTTCGCGTCCGGCTCCCTTTCCGCCGACCTGAGGAGGAGGACGTGCCAGGTCCTCCCGTTCCTCAGGATGTGCCTCGAGGAAATCGCTGAGCTCCCCGATCAAGTTGCGGATCCTGACCGTGGAGTACTCAACGAACCTCGGTGTCGCCCTGGCTAGGCTGACAACTCTGTGCAGCCGCTCAAGCGACGTGCACAGAGTGCAGCTGCAGGCCGCCGGGTGGCCCCACATGCGCTGAGCCAGTGCTGCGGTGAAAAACTCTCACTTAACCTCCCTACGCCTTTAAACACGGGGGCGTATTTACATATAGGCATAGGCATGTACACACAGGATGCACAGGATATATCATGTTGAAGGCTTGGCGCAACACGCAAAAGTTAAAAAAGGGTTGGGAGCAAACTTCAATGACAACCCAGATTTGGCAGCCAAGATGCGTCTCTGCATGATAGATGGCAAACCATCCTGATGGAGACAAACTGCTGTCCTCTTCTTGACACGCTCCAGACTCGACCTGGCCTGGGTCATCCCAAGCCTCGGCTTATCTTATCATGGTTCAGGCTAACTGATTGAAGCGTGGCTAAGTTGGAACAAACATGTTTTCTTCGGCTCATTGAGGGCATTCGGTGGGTGACATCTCATCGCTCGGTCCCTGACAGCTGCGGCCCATCCATTGCTTCTGAAGTGGTTCATCCTCGGAAACAAAGAGTCATGAAGCACATGAAACAAAGCAAACTGTTCTTTCAAAGCAAACTTTGTTACTCCAAATTCTCATTTCGCCCTCTTCTTGTCTGCGTACTTCTGCCCAGCGGCGCAAACTTGTAGTACTCCCGGACCAGGTCCGAGTTCCGCTCCCCTTGGCAACAGTCGCGTCGCCCGACACCTGGGTTCAAGCCACAACATTAACATCCAAACCTTGTGCGGCTTTTGTGGCTGGCTTGACAGAAGGAACTTTGCGTATCATGTCAACCTCTGACGACACACGTCGTGGCCCCAGGCCAAATTCTCCCATGTACAGCTTGATGCCGCTGCCCTTAGCAACAGCCGCAAGAGGATGAAAGGTGAAAAATGAAAGGTGAAATATATACAATATATAGTGAAATACTCAAAGGTTGTCCAAACAGACACATACTCAAGGGTCATCAAGAAAAATCACAATGCACAGCTTCACCAAGCAGCACAACAGTATACAGGTGCCTGGGTTGGTTCTATACTGGGGGAAATGAAACTCACCGCTCTGTTCCGACTCAGCAGACAGAGTTGCAGTGTTCTAGGTTGTTCCTGGAACCCTCCATACAAAAGAAGAATCTTTAGGGAGTTCTTCTGCTTCTCCCAGCCCCTTTGTCTGATCCAAGGTAGAGACCATGGTAGAAGCGGTAGAAGGTGATTGAAAAACGACAGGATACAGTCGGCAAAAACAGAAGAGCCGGAAAGGCCCTCTGAAACAAGCTAGAACTGGCAAAAAGAAGTCACGGGACCAATTCCAGCTCCAAAGTGAGAGTGAACTTGCGGCCTCGAGAGAAGGCACAGGATGCTTGTGAAGAAATTGCATGATATTGAATGCAAGAATAAACTTGCAGAGAGAAGTTGGCCCGGTTCAAGAGAGAGGTACCGCAAGCCCCCCAAAGCGCTGTTCACGTTTGATTTAGCTGCTTTTGGTAGGTTCGTGAGTTGAAACCAAATCAACCAAACCTGCCAAACTGCCAAAAGTACACGATTTACTGTCCACCCGGCACCAGGAAACTACCCGATTGAGCAACTTCAGGGTCGGTCATGGATTGGGAGGATTCCCTTTTGAACATGTGTCAGGATACGCAACTTATCTGCACGCGCATAGAAGTAAAGTATCATACAACACCACCCGAGTCCAACACCAACATAATTTCCAAACAACTTAAGCTGTGGAGCGAATTGCCAAATGTGGAGATTTCTCCAAACATCATAGAGGCCTGACACTGAGAACATGGGTCCAAAACTGCCGTGCAACGGTGTAGTGATGCACCTAGCTTCATGCGCTCCACTGTGCCGAAGTAGGAGTTCTTCCCAGTGTCTCCAGCGAAATCCCAAGGATCCTAGGTGTCATGCCCAGCATTGTCACCGAAGGCGCTGTAAAAACATTCCAAATCTCGAAAGAAAAAAACAATGTGGCCAGTTGGCTCGCAGAGTCGGAAAGAACGCCTTTTTTGTGCCTTTTGAGTTGAATCCAAAACCAACATTGTAAGGGGACCGCCAAATAGGCACTCAAATCGATCAGTCCTTGTCTTTGTGTCGTAAAGTGTTCTACGCTCTGCCTGTGCAAACCATATATAGGACTCTGCAAAATCAAACACTTCAGCTCGGCGATCGTTCAATTTGTGCTGCGCCTTTGGCTTTTGACCCTGGGAAGGAGAAGCGACTGACATCTTGATAGCATCATGTTAAGGGTTAGAATGCTCAACACCAAGGTTCATAGGTGTGAACTTCAACACCAAGGCATTCCTCAGCATTTCCCAAAGCAATCCACAAACCGTGAAATCTGTTTTTACTGTTCACTTCTAACTTCTAATTCAGGTAAAGCAACTGGACAGCAACTGCTTAATTTGAATCAAAAAACGTCTTTTCCACCACCGGGTAGATTGACAGCATTTGGATATACGTAGCTTGCAGTGCCTGACAGCTCAACTTCAAAAAGTGCAAGTATAAAAGCGACAAAGTCCAACGGTCCAAGTCACGTGAAGTGTCAAAGTGCCACAAAACAATAGGTGACCGTCTGTTGATGCTAATAGCGATGGCCTCCAACCTAAGAACATGTTGCCTCAAGATTCACGAGTTCCACAGTACACCCTAACAGGTCTGCCTTCACTTCCCTTTTGAACCTACCCCAACCCCTAACAGGTCTGTGGCCTATGCTTGCCATGGCATTGGGGCTGACGAAGATCATCCGTGTCTGGCGCACTTCAACTTCACTTTGAGCTTTAGTTTTGCTTGAAAGTATGACAAGTGCAAGTGGTTTATCGCCCTTGTGCCGAAGTATGTCACAATGTGTTTGAAACAGAAAGAATTCAACACGTTTCAAAACTACATAATGTCGTTCACTACATGTGCGTCATTCTCTCTCAGTTCGTAGAGTTACACTGCCCACAAAGGCCCAGTCCGGCGAGACGCGTCGCACAGCGTCGTAGCCCACACCATTGATGGTTCGAGTACGGTCGATGGCAATCCTTAATTCAAAGCACAAAGTAGCTGTCATGTATAATCCATGTGTAGAATAAAGAGAGACCCTTGAAAAGCAAACATGCCACGTCGAAAGGAGGAACAGGTTGCATTTGACGCAAACTGACTTTACTCACCAACGATTACTGTGACGCTCTGCTAATTTACAGTGATGCAATTCCAAAGTTTGAAACTACTCAGCTTTCAGCTTTGCAGAATCAGACTTACATGCACGAGCTGAGGTACTGATCAAAGGGTTGTGGCCATTGACCCCCTTCCCAGGATCCAAAGGCATGCTCAGGTTCCTTAAGCGGGTAAGCCATTCACAAAGGACCAGAGCTTTGCGTGAGGATCGAAACAGCATTTATAGGCCAGTTTAATTCTGATTTCGGATTTAGTGATGCCTTTCACTCACGACAGGCGGATTGATAAGGCTCTATGATAAGAAGCACAAACGAGGTCCAAGTCAGCAAAACCAGAAAGAGCATGACCAATCCAAGTTGACGTCTATTTCCGTGGCAAATCATATGATTTTCGAGTCAGTCAGAAACCAACACAGGTTCAACAAGGAAGCTGAGCACACGACATTTTGAGACTATGTGTGGTCTTCTGTCACATCAATCAACGTTGTTGCAAGTCAACCGGCAGAGTTTCAGTCGGGAGACCGAAGCTTCTCGAAAAAACAAAAGTGGCAGGATCTGATGCATGAAAAATTCCCTCTCATCTGACCCAAACCCAATGAAAAATGCAAGGAGCGTGTCCGTGCTGTAGCATTATTAAAATTAACAAAAACATACAAATTCGGGGGTTGCACTTTGAGAAACTTTAGGACAATTGGTTCCAGTGTCGATTGCTCCCAGGCGCTTGCTTTAACGGGCTCTTTGTCACTAAGTCCACCTGTGACTATGCCTCTAAGCAAACAACCAGCCTTCACTACATTGTGCGGCTTCCGTCACATCACCAAGCGGCATTGAGGATTTCAAATATCAAATGGCCTGAGGAAACCCAAAACGCTCCACAGCAATGCGTCTCTATGCAACACGCCCACTCTCATACACAAGTGCATCCACAAGCAGTTGCCTAAGTTATAAATATTATATATATACATACCGTATTTATTTACTTATCCATTTATTTGTTTCTTTTATATGTGTGTGTGTCAACCTCTGTAACTAAGAGTTTTTTGAGCGCAGGGGCGTACGGCTCGTCATACCCACCGTACGCAACGAAGCTACGGTATGACGAGGGGAGGGTGGACTGATCATCCACCTGTACCTGCGACTAACACATTGACTCCACTGGTTTCCCTCGGCCGCTGTTTTTTGTGTCCATGGTGGTTTGCTCACGATACCTCCCACAAACCATTTCTACCACGTTGTTGCAGCTGAGCCGCGCGTTTTGTGAACACTTCGTTTTGCAGCTTGCGAGAAACAGTTGTTCAAACACCTTCAACTCCTTGGACTTTTCACTTTTCGGTTCCATCACCTTCCTTCGACCTGGGAATTGAGTTAACTGAAAACCAATGTCAGAGTGTGAACCGCTCAGCCGTCCCACTTGGGTGCTGGGTGTGATCCCCGTCACTGGGGCGCCGAAGCCATTCCGGAATTTCACTAACAGCTTTTTCGTTTCCACCATTCGTTGGATTCTCTTAACCGATTCCTTTTCACCACTGGATTAACTGCCTTAAGAGCTGTCGGGCTTTCACGATATGATACCACAGCCGCCGGGCTAAAAAACGGAATTCAATTGCACTTGAGGCCAGGCATGTTGTCCCAACCCCCCCCCCGCCGAGTTCTACTCCTACCTAATTAGGGTAACACAGGGAAATGGTACTCGACACACTTGTGCGTCGGTGCCTTTCCCTCTGTTGTCCCTTTTCTAGTCTACTCTACCCGGGCGGTTTAAGACTAAAGTCCCGCTCCCTAACTATTGCACTTACAGTAATTCATTTCTGCTAAGTAATCAGTAAGTCTAGAGTGCTAAGTATTCAGACACACGCACGGACACACACATGCCACATACATCCCCTCCCTGCCCCCCACTTTCTTTCTTGCGCTTCTGGTCGTTTCTTGGGCTTTCTCTCAGGCTTTTTAAGTCGTTTCCCTACCCCAGTCAAGGGCTAAGTATTCACTCTACTCCTATCTTTCTCTCTTGCCCTCTTAGCGCTGCTCTTTCTGTGTTTCTGTCTTTTGTTTCTAAGGCTTTTTAGGTATCTATTCAGGCCCTCCGCGCGAGCGCCGCAAAGCGGCACCGCGTGTGCGTCAACCTCTGTAACTAAGAGTTTTTGAGCACAGGGGCGTACGGCTCGTCATACCCACCGCGCGCAACGAAGCTACGGTATGACGAAGGAAGGGTGGACTGATCATCCACCTGTACCTGCGACTAACACATTGACTCCACTGGTTTCCCTCGGCCGCTGATTTTTGTTTCCATGGTGGTTTGCTCACGATACCTCCCACAAACCCTTTCTACCGCGTTGTTGCAGCTGAGCCGCGCGTTTTGCGAACACTTCGTTTTGCAGCTTGCGAGAAACAGTTGTTCAAACACCTTCAACTCCTTGTACTTTTCACCTTTCGGTTCCATCACCTTCCTTCGACCTGGATTGAGTTAACTGAAAACCAATGTCAGAGTGTCTCCGCATCCAGCGCACGAGGGTCAAACTACCAAAGAGGCAGGTAGCTTGCTGGGCAGGCTGATGGGCTCTGTGCAAGCTGAATCTTGTCAGGCAGGCGGATGAGTTGTACAAGTAAAGCGTCAGATCTTTTTCTGCAAACATGAGCTTGGAACTTGTGTAAAGTGCTGAAATCGACGGAGGTTACGGAGGTTCAACTTTTATCTGACAGCTGCTTTGCGCTGGGACGGTTTCAACTTAGCTGACCAAATCAAGCGTCCGTGTTCCAATTTTGTTCTTTCCGCAGGGCGCCGACAGGCCTGAAAAATAAGAAAAGGTGCAGGCAAATCTCTCACATGGTATTTGAGGTCCGTTCAGCCCAAAGCGATTGTTGTGATATCAAGTCGCTTTGGTGCAGATTGCTTTTTTGAAAAGTTTAAGTTATATTTATAGTTTTTGGACATCTCCAACCATATCAAGTTTCTTTCATCCTCATTCTTGTCTCCGCCTTCTTGCTTAGGCGACTCCTTTTGCCTTCTTCCTTCGCCCAAGTGTAGCCGTTTTGAACTGCTGTGTTGCATTCGGCAAGTTGTTCCTCTTGGTCTCCTTTCATTCCGGAATTTGTTTCACTCCTTGATTTTTGTCCTTGTGGTACCAAACATCAATCCCAATGAAAGAACAAGTGCACCGAGACCTGAAAAAGAAGGGAACCTAAGGAATCCTCTGTAGGATAGGTGCAGGAACTACCCAGCTAATTATTCAGAAATCCAAACGGCCTTGAAGCAGGATTTGTTGAAGCAAGGGAACCATGATGAAATTCAACAGAAGTACCCGCACCGCTATGACATACAAACTTGCGTTGTTAGCACGGGAACCTGCATGGGTGGCAACAAATTGGACGTTGAACAACAAGACGCCGAAGCTTGCCTGGACTCCGAAGCAGTTAGAAAGAACAGAAACACAACTCGTTTCTAATAGTCTCTGCAGGACCGGTCTGATATCGCTCATATTGCGCCGAATGGCTCTTGCACGTCCACCAACATAGCCCGGACATAAAAACATGCCAACTCTTAGGGCTCAACAACTCACATGCAACTGTGCATGTAGTTGGACCACGGCATGTAAACGGCAGGAGTTGCTTGTGCCCCAAGAAGGGAGGAGGCTCATTTTGGAATACACGATTCGGCTCATTTTGGAACACGCAGAATTTGCCCGTTTAAGCTCATTCTGGGCCACATGATTCGGCTCATTTTGGAACACGACAATCATTTTGCACTGTGGAACAGATCTGGGTGTTCGATAGAAGCTTGTTGATGGGTGAGAGATCAAAAAAAATTAACGTATCAATAAAAAACATGTTCTACACGCATCAATAAAATTTACTGGCTCAAAAAAAATATTCCAAATAGCTGTAGCAGTACAAGTAGTTCCCGGGCAAGCCGGCGGCGGAAGTTTGCTATAAGAAGAAATTGACCTATAGGAGTGTCCACGTTCTCTCCAACATGCGCGTCCTCCAGTCAAACGCACGCGCTCCGGACTTTTGACCCACGGGATTCCACGTGTGTAAGGTGTGTGTGCCCCCTGCGAGAGATGACACACATCCGGCCACCACGACTTGCCAAGGATGCGGTCCACATCGACACACATCCCACCGTGGCATTCTTCAGTGGCGGCAAACCTTGCATATCACACATCGGACTGAATGGAATCCGAATTTGAATGTAAAATCTGTCTTGAACTCTGAGACTATGTATGATGAGTCTTGTATGATGAGGGGTGTATGACAAGTGATGAATGAGTGTATGTTGAGTGGTGTATGATGAGTGGTGTATGACGAGTGGTGTATGATGAGTGGTGTCTTGACCAGCAGTTGAATGTCCTGTCCTGCATAACTGCAACCAAATACGATCAGTATGAACTGAACGAGCACGCCGCGAGAGATGACTCAGCAGCGAGAGATGAATGAGCAGCGAGAGATGACTCCTCCGCGTACTACACTGTTCGCCAGTACAACTCTAGTTGTACTACGAAGTCGCCAGTCCTCAGCTTCTAGCTGCACAGATTGCTCCGCGTGCTGAAGTTGTACTACAAAGTCGCCAGTTCTCATCGTCCAGCTTGCCAGATACTCCGCGCGCTGAAGTTGTACTACAAAGTCGAGCTTCCAGCTCTACAGATTGCTCCGCGTACTAAAGTTGTACTAGAAAGTCGCCAGTTCTCACCATCCAGCTCCACAGATACTCCGCGTACTAAAGTTGTACTACAAAGTCGCCAGTTCTCAGCTTCCAGCTCTACAGATTGCTCCGCGCACTAAAGTTGTACTAGAAAGTCGCCAGTTCTCACCATCCAGCTCCACAGATACTCCGCGTAGTAAAGTTGTACTACAAAGTCGCCAGTTCTCCTCGTCCAGCTCGCCAGATACTCCGTGTACTAAAGTTGTACTACGAAGTCGCCAGTTCTCAGCTTCTAGCTGCACAGATTGCTCCGCGTACTGAAGTTGTACTACAAAGTCGCCAGTTCTCATCGTCCAGCTTGCCAGATACTCCGCGTACTAAAGTTGTACTACAATGTCGCCAGTTCTCAGCTTCCAGCTCTATACTAGAAAGTCGCCAGTTCTCAGCCAGTTCTCAGCTTCCAGCTCCCCAGATGCTGCGCCTGCCACGAAATCTGCACATGGAGGTTCACAAAGTGCTGTGCCTGCCACGAAATCTGCGCATGGAGGTTCACAAAGTGCTGTGCCTGCCACGAAATCTGCGCCTGGAGGTTCACACAGCGCTGCACCTGCCACGAAATCTGCACATGGAGGTTCACAAAGTGCTGCACCTGCGACGAAATCTGCACATGGAGGTTCACAAAGTGCTGCACCTGCCACGAAATCTGCACATGGAGGTTCACAAAGTGCTGCGCCTGCCACGAAATCTGCACATGCAGGTTCACAAAGCGCTGCGCCTGCCACGAAATCTGCGCATGGAGGTGCACAAAGTGCTGTGCCTGCCACGAAATCTGCACATGGAGGTTCACAAAGTACTGCACTTGCCACGAAATCTGCACATGGAGGTTCACAAAGTGCTGCACCTGCCACGACATCTGCACATGGAGGTTCACAAAGTGCTGCGCCTGCCACGAAATCTGCACATGGAGGTTCACAAAGTGCTGCACCTGCCACGAAATCTGCACATGGAGGTTCACAAAGCGCTGTGCCTGCCACGAAATCTGCACATGCAGGTTCACAAAGCGCTGTGCCTGCCACGAGTTCTGCACTTCAAGAAACAAGTGAAAACTCTAATCCCAATGGACGGACGATTCCGACCATGCCCGAGCATGACCCGAGACCGTCTCGCAACCGTCGTTCCGCAGACCTTGACTTGCCAGCTTCGGAGCCACCGG